ATTGGGGTCCAGGGGCCACAAAGGGGTGCTAAAGGATCTGCGGAAAATTTGAGAAGGAAAGAAAGTGTATTTGTATGGCTGTAAAAGTTAACGCATACATTTTTTTAAGATTATAAAAAAAAAAAATTTTTTTATTAAAACCGAACACCTTATTATTATTATTATTATTAAATTATTTAAAATATAAAATGTTATTTACTTTAAAAAAAATTAAACTAAGTTCTATGGAAAAATATATTTTCTATGAAAAAATGTTTTATTTATTACACTTTTATGAGACAAGAATAGTGTAACAGTGAAAATGGTTTTCATCAGGTCTAATTGTGTGTAGAAAAAATCTTATTATAAATTAAATATTTTATATTAAATTCTAAAAATATTTTTTTACATTTTCTTTTGACTTAAGCAGTGACAATATGTCACAGAAGGTCGATTATTTAATTTTTTTAACAAGTTACCTTACACTTTTCACACAGTAAAAAAAAAAGAGTCTTTATTTATGAAAATAAATAGCTGCCTTTCTATTTTAAGTAGGGGTCACTCACAAAAGTATATTCACTTCTGGGGGTTCCTTGGTATCAAATTTTTTTGAAAACCCCTGTCCAAATCTGTAAGCTTTAGGATAAGCACATAATATTTTTTGCTGAAGTTTTATAGACCAATAAGTGTTATTGCTTGTTCAATTAAATTGGCTTTTCTGGATTAAAAAAAGAATGCAAATGGAAGCAGTGTTAGGTTAACTGGGGTTAAATTTCTCCTTTGGGACTTCATTCCGTACAACCAAAGATTTTGCATTGTACTCTGCACTTTATAAATGGTTGATTGATTGTAGGCTTTGTTTTTTTTAGGGCAGTCATTCACTTTAATTTGAAATGGGACTTGGTCTCTAAAAACAAACAAATAGGAGAGGACAAAGTGCAGAGAAAATATCAATTCTAATATCGTCAAAGGGTGTTTAATCCTCTCAGACATGAAAAAGCATTGTGATAGAGGTGTGAGACATGAGCGAGGACAAAACATGATGATCAACTAATTGTGGTACATCCCCTCAATAACCTCACCTGATCTTATACAGCTGAGCTCAGCGCTCAAGGTCTTTAAAGGGAGGGAAGGTTCGTACTCGCACCCATTTATTGCTTTCCCAGCTCCATTTAGCTGTCCCTGAAGACCTCAGAGCCCCCATTTTAACCTTCAATTATGAATTAAGCTGTTGAGGTAAAGCATGTTTATGGGCTAAATGTTGCCAATTTAATTTGAAATGGGATTTGGGTCGAAATGTCTTAGCAGCAAACATGCATAATGTTCTTTATTTTCACCGTTATTAGGTTAGACACTAGCGTCTTGAGGTGCAGAGAGCACTGTATGTATACCTGAACTAATAAAACTAGAACAATATGCCAATATCTGGATTAATGGTAGACTTGAGATACAGTTCCTATAAAATACTTGTTTTGTTGCTTTACAGCAATGAATCATAGCAAACTTCCTTTGGCTTTGTTGACACTAATCAACAGAAAAACACTCTATAAAGGGATTTAAATAATACAGAGTATAAAATCCAAACTAATTAATTTCATAAGTATTCACCCCCTTTAATATGACATGAATCAAGTTGATAGGTAAATTACTTGTGTGTAGTCAAAGAGTTTCAGTTGATTGTATAAAAACAATTCAATCTGGGAGCTCCAACTTGTGGCGAGTCAATATTGTGGTAGAACTTACATCATTAAGACAAACAAAAACCCTCTAAGCAATTCTGCAGGAAAGTAATTGAAAAGCTCAAGTCAGGGAATGGCTACAAGAAGACTTTAAGAAGTCATTAAATATCCCTTGTGTATAGTTAAATCAATAATTAAGTAATGGAATGAGCATGCCAGTGCTGTAAATCTACCTAGAGCTGGCTGTCCTAAAAAACGAGTGACCATGGCGGACACTAGTGAGGGAGGTCAGTTCACCAAGACCAGCTGGAAAAGATGGTTTTGTTGGAAGAGACCAAAATAAAGTTGTTTTAGCCATCAAACTAAATACACGTTAGACAAACACAACATATCTTTTGGGAAACATGGTGATGGCAGTATCATGCTGTTGGGAAGCTTCTCTAGAGCAAGACCTTGAAGGCTTGTGAGAGTATGAAAACCGCTAAATGCAGGAAAATCCTGTAGAAAAACTGCAAGACTCCTGTGACTTGACACAATATTTGTTTCCAGCAAGACAACAACCCAAAGCTACACAGGAATGGCCTAAATAGACAATGTTAATGTCCATGAGTGGCAAGATCAATCTCAATCCAGTTGAGAATTTATGGATGGACTTGAAAATAGCAGTTTTGCTGAAAGAAACATGCAGTTTCGAGAAAAAAAAACATTGCATTGCAGTGACCAAACTATCCACATAAACACAAGTCTGAAATTGCAGTCA